GATAGATGATAGATAGATAGATAGATAGATAGATAGATAGATAGATAGATAGATAGATAGATAGATAGATAGATAGATAGATAGATAGATAGATAGATAGATAGATAGATAGATAGATAGATGATAGATAGATAGATCTATATAATATAATAATAGGCTATGTATACTTTAAGTTTCTGTAGCTCACAATACATGTGTTATCTATGAAAGATTAAATGCTTTGTGGAGAGAAATAACAGGAATTTCGGTGCCAAACCCATCATATTTCATAGACACTTCTCTGGCGTTTATAACAAATCAAACCTTTTGAAAATCGGTTGAAAATTGAGCAAGTTAGAGTTATTTAAACAGTACATGCACCTTACACCCCAATGTCAAGAAAGGGGGCAGCTGTCTGAGGTAAGATGGCCGCCACGTTGCTACGTTGCATCCCATTGGCGAACAGCGGGGATGAGTCATCTACTGTTTATATACATATCTATGCGGGCAGCAGCCAAGCAGGGAGGCCCAGACTACCCCTTCCGAGCGTCTTGGGCTAGCTCCTCCAGGGAATCCCAAAGCATTCCCTGGCCGTACGAGAGAGATAGTCCATCCAATATGTCCTGGGTCTCCCTTTAGGTCTTCTCCTGCTTGGACGTGCCCAAAAAACCTCACCAGGGAGGTGTCCAGGAGGTATCTTAACCAGATGCCTGAGCCATTTCAACTGGCTCCTCTCCATGGGCGTCGCACCTGTGGGGGACGTGGAACTCACTCCCTCCTGACCTCTGTAACATTGACTCCCTCACTCTCTTTAAAAGCAGACTCAAAACCCACCTGTTCCGTCTAGCATTCCAATAATTACTCTCTTTGCTCCAATCTGGCTGTTTTATGCTCTTCCATCTTTTATTGTTGTGTATTTTATCTCTGTCTGTAAAGTGTCCTTGAGTGTTTAGAGAGGCGCTGTTGAAATAAAATGTATTATTATTATTTTCTTATTGAGATCGTTCAGCACCCACACTTTTCCAGCCGTTTTGCTCACCTCCACACCAGTCTGGTTTCTCTACGTCACACTCACTCTGTTGGCCTCATCTCCTTCTTCCCCTCCTTCTCCTGTTTCTCCTTGAAACCCGACATCCGCTGTCGGGTTTCAAGGAGAAACAGGAGGGGGAGGGAAGAACTCGACGGGAGGGATGAGCTGTCGAGCTCTTCCATCGCTCCCTCTCCTACTGCTCTAACACAACCGGCTTTCAATCAATCGATTTGCATCCTGCCATAAATCCCGCCTGTTTGGTCATTGTCCAACATTCGGCTTGTTGTTAACATTCAGTGACAAATAAAGTTTGTTGAAACCCGAGTACACCTGTGCGCTGGTGGACTGGGCTGGAACTACAGTTTATTCAGGAGAGTTTCTACCGGACCCCGCCGTTGGATAATTGAAGCCGTTCAGGTTAGTTAGGAAACCTCTGAGCCAATAGAATCGCTTGTTTTAAATTTTTTTGGCTAGTTTTTGGGGATTTGGTGTCGGATGGATGCAAGCTAAAACAGCCACGAATCAGCTTTGTGTGATGTTGTGAAGATGGATTACACAAAGGGATTGGGTTGTTTTTACCATAACATGGATTATGGTCATGAATCAACAAAGGTAAGACTGAATTTACGCTTTTCACGTCATGAAATGAGCTGTGGTTTGTTAGCTGCTGGCTCTGTGAGTTTTGCACGTAGAGTGCATAAATACTGTTGGAAAGAGAAGAGCCTGGGCTTTAATTTAAACGGCGGATTCTGTGGATAGGATATTGGATTGTCGCTACTGTGTGTTTTCCTCTAAATGTGTATTTAGTGTCTTTTTACGTCCTTTTGATTTAACAGCTTCTTGTTGAAATTGGGTGTTGTTGATGGAGAAAACTTGGGTTCTGTTGTTTGGAAGACGAGTTCTTCCCGTTCTGCATGTGTGCCGTTTATACATTGGTGAATATTAAGCATGTTTTTGGAAGGACTTTGTTAATGTGAATTATGCGCTGACCCGTTACTGGATTGAGGTTGAGTTTCAATTTACAGCTCATGACATTCACAGACAGCATCCCCCTCACTTTTGAAAAGCTTGCAGCGCGCCTACTCCTCTCATTATGGAGAAGCAGCAGGTCTACTACGAGCCCCTCCCGGATGACTGAACTTCTCAGCCTATCTTTAAGTGAGAGCCCGACCACCCAACAGAAAAAAATCATTTTGGCCACTTGTATCCGCACTCTCATTCCTTTGGTCACTACCCAAATCTTGTGACAATAGGGTGAGGGTAGGAATGTAGATAAACCAGTAAATAGACAACAACAGACCGGTACAATGCCCACATCATTGCAGACGCAGCACAAATCTCCTGGTGACCTATGAATCTAGACCAACCGTAGTAGTAGTGAAAATGTTTGCTCTGCATATATCGGATGTCTTGCCAGGCTATTGATCTCCATCTACTTCCATTGTCCCTGAAAACAAGACCCAGAGATACTTAAACCCCTCCACTTGGGGCAGGACAACATTCCTGGCCTTTCTCTGACTCAAGACCATGGCCAGAAAAAGTTTTCTTCATTTAATCAATCAATCAATCAATCAATCAATAAAAGCTTTATTTATATAGCGCCTTCCGCAACCCTGTCAGGAAGCCCAAAGCGCTGAACATGGTACAGTTGTAAGTAATTATATTGAATAAATCAACAATAAAAGAAATTCAAATTACAAAATACAAATTACAAAATACAAAATGGAAATTACAAGATAGAAGAAACATTCCGGTAAAATACAAATGTGTGAAACACATTTGGATTGAGTGGATGGATTGAGTGTACCAATGAAAACTGTGGAATGGATTCAACATAAAAGAGGGCCATAATCAAACATGTTCTGGAAACGCCAAGCGGAGGAGGTGTGTTTTTAGGTGATTCTTAAAGACTGGCAGAGAAGGGGACAGCCTAACTGAGGGTGGCAACTGGTTCCAGAGTGACGGTGCTAGGACTGAGAAAGCCCGGTCCCCACGGGTACGACACCTAGACCGAGGGACAGCGAGCAGGCCTTGGTCAGAGGAGCGCAGAGCGCGTGATGGGGAGTGTCTGTTCAGGAGAGCGGCCAGATAGGGGGGACCACCACCCTGGAAGAAATGATAAACAAAGACGAGTATTTTGAATTGTGAGCGATAGCAAATCGGAAGCCAGTGCAGGGAGGTCAGAACTGGGCTAATGTGGTCCCGTTTCCTGGTCCCAGTCAGGAACCTGGCAGCGCTGTTCTGCACAACCTGTAGGCGACGCAGTGTTGACTGACACAACCCTGCATAGAGAGAGCTGCAGTAATCAAGCCGAGAAATAACAAAGGCATGCAGTACCCGCTCTAGGTGGGTCCCATTTAGCATAAATTAAGTTTAAACAGTTAGTTTGTGAATGACATGAAAATCAGAAAAAACACAGGAGAATTTTTCATTTAATTCAGACTAAAAACAATCTATAAACTAGGTGCAAAAGTCATGATGGATGTTTATGTTCATCTGCATCCTACAGTAGAAGATACGTGCCTGTTGCACATCATTGATACCAAGCATTGATAACTGGTGTGTTTATTTAGAGCCTTTAAAACATTTAATGCACATTTATTTATTGTCCTGCTTTGAATACCAACCGGCTCGGCTTCAGTAAACGGGGCTGAGCTCATTTAGCTAATGGACTGAGCTGGATCTTATCCCAACCCTCTGCCGCGGCTGCTCCAGAGCTGCACCTCATTTATAATTAACCGAGGAGGTGAACATCTCCAACAGGCTGTCGTACAAATCACCCATGCTATCTGATGCTTCCCTATTGTCAAACGGAAGTGACGAAGTGACAGAGAGCTGTTGTGACAGCCGTGGAGCTAACATCACACCAGCTGAGAGACAGGAAAGAAATTGATCGCGACTTGTTTTTCTGTTATTTTCTATTTTCTGTTGACAGAAATGAATCATTTTCAGCTCAAGTTTAGGATTTCCACAAAGTATTTACAGTTTTTTTCTCCACAGGTCACAGAACTAATTAATTAATAATCATTATATATTTATTATATAATTATTATAAGGTGCTCTGACCATCTGCCATGATGATCAGAAATGCAGAAAGATCGTTTCTCCAACATAATACATCAAAATAAATATTAAAGAGCAAAACCTATTCATATTTTTTATGTTCACACTAAGAAATTATAAATTAAAGTAATATTTTTTAGTATTTTTGATTCATTCATTAATTTTTGTCCCCTGCACTTTTTACCATCCGAAAACAATATTACACTTTATTAAAGAGTAAGTCATCCCCAATTGTACTTTCTTTTGCTGATAAACTGTACAAACGAGTGTCTAATCGTGCTGTAGACACATGTAGTCAATAATTTGGCAATTTAGTGCATCTCAGTTAAAATTTAAATATTCTGCCTAAATCCTTCAGTGTTGTGCCGTCTTCAGGTAAAAACTCTGCACAATTGAATCTGCCATCGCTATTGGCTAAGAGGTGCACTATGATGTTAGCGGGTACATTATGATGTCACAATGCCGTGTTTTGTGTGTGTGTGTGTGTGTGTGTGTGTGTGTGTGTGTGTGTGTGTGTGTGTGTGTGTGTGTGTGTGTGTGTGTGTTAGCAGCTCCGCCCTCTCACTCTGCCAGGAAACAGCATGTGTTGCATTTTTCAAACAGGAAGTGAGAGTGGCGTAGATTCTGGTAGGGGGTGACTTGCTCTTTGAATAGACACTGGTTGAAGCTTGTTTCCCATTAGAACCGTCCATAAGCTCATCTATTGGCTCTGCTGATACTTGCTGATGTGTGATTGGCCGTTCCTGCCACCTGGGTACTTGACAGTCATGCATTCCTGACATCGCATAAAAGACCCTCTTGGCTGTAGTTTTATACATATTTTTTGTAAATGTGCCCCCCCCCCCCCCCCCCCCCCCACTTCTAAAGTAAAAACTACGTCCATGCTGACTGGTGAACTGGGATTTGTTTGGCAGGACGATCCAACATGGTGTAGAGAGGACTTCTGCTGCAGCTCATCCATTCACAGCCCTCCACAGTTTACTCTGATCACACATGTGAATGAGCGGAGAGAGGAGGAGGAGGAGGAGAAGGAGGAGGAGATGTGACACACAAACTCTCCAGCTGTCTGCGCCCTTCACACACCAGCTGACTCCTCTCCTCGGAGGACTCAGCCGGACCGGTGGCTGGCTGACTGCAGATCAGCGTTGATCGTGTCTGCAGCTATGACGAACAGGATGAGGCGGACCTGATGACTGCTTAAGACTCCTAATGACACCGACCAGAGGTAAGGAGCAAGAGGAGCAGCACGAGGGCGGGACACTGATCCTCTGCTGCCGGGACAGATGCAGTCTGACGGCGCAGGGGCTTTGTGATGGGTCGCTGATCAGGATCACCTCTTAGATCTGTTTATTAGATGAATGGAGCTTTGTGTGTTGGTGACATTTCAGCAGCCTGCAGGACCTCTAGGCTGCCTGGCTCCTCCGCTGCACCGGAGCTGCAGAGCTGTCGTGCATGAGCACTGCTGCTGTTTCACTCTGCATCATTAAGGGGCTGACAGGGATTGGAATTCAAATTATAATAAAGGTCTTTAGACCTAAGCTCAACCATTTATAAGCACTGAACTCCAAAGCTACCTTCTCTCAACTCTGAAATTTAATGATAAACCCAAATCTCCAGAGTAAAATCTTTCTTCAGATCTGGAAAGCAGTTTTTGCTCCAAGCCCGTGGAACCAGAATCTGAAACAATCACTCAGCAGAAGCAAGATGCTGGTCTTGATGAGACTATGGGGTTGTTTAGAAGCTAAAGGAGTCCCACAAGGCTCAATTTTAGGTCCAGTTTTGTTCTTAGTTTTTAGCAAGGACAAACGTACACATATGACACTATATTCTATCAAGATGGCCCAACTTTGAGCCCAGCTGTTGAGGAGCATCACACTGCCTTTCACAGTATAGCCTAAAGTTGGTGCTGAAATCAATAAAGACAAACTGATGGTGTTTCTCAGAACCCATTCCCAGATCTAAGATAAAACTGCCATTTCTACCCCATACAGAGAGAGTTTCATCCACATACATTTGGGTTTATGCCTGGATGGGTTGAACTAGCCTTTAAGGCAGAAACCTGGAGTTTATTCATCCACTGGCGCCATCTAGAGGCTGAAAAAAGGTATTGCACTTTCATCCGTTCTCAACAGCTCTGTATTTACGGACAAAAGCCACGCCTCCCGTGCATGAAAGCGCACCACTAGCCAGCCAACAGAGCTAAAACATGTTTTACAATCTTTACTCTCATGTTCACGCTCCGTCTGTACAGAAGCGAGCGCTTTTTGCCTTTTGGCTAATGCCGAGCAGCGGTCAACTCAAATTACGTGGGGCTCTAACAGACAAGAAACGGGATTAGCAACAAAAAAAAGACCTACGATATATCACAGAACAGAGTAAGACATTCACTTTTATTAAAAATCATACATAATTCCTGAAAGGGGGAAACTGCACTTATCAAATTAAGTCAAGTTTGACATTGTCAGTTACAAATGAAGTGTTTCCATGTTTACATGCACGCTGCCTCCTGCACATACTTAAATTTTGCTACATTTCACATCATCTCGACCAGGCGTCCCTTCCAAAAGAGAAGGCCTTTTCTTGTTGGATAAAAATCAGAAACTGAACTAAAACGTTGATGATTCATGTTGTGTCCTCAGAGTTTCAGGACTCCACTGTGGACACCACCTACAGCATCCTGAGGTCTATAATCTCACCATGATGGGAGCCTTAACCTGCACCGTGGCTTCAGCAGCTTCGGGAAGAAGCTTCATCGTAGTTCTGCATCTGACTCTATTGTTAGTAGCAGTGAGGGGCCAGAGGCAGTTGAAACGATCCGCTCTGGACTGCACCAGGAATTGTGTGTGTGCCAGTAACATCATCAGCTGCTCCGATGGGAATCTAATCCAAGTCCCTGCGCCTCTTCCACAGCACACAGCCGTCCTGGACCTCAGCTTTAACTCCATCACTCAGCTTCGTGCAGGTTGGACCACTGTTGACCTCAGCAGTCTGCAGAGCCTGATCCTCAGTAACAATGGCCTCACTTTCCTCTCCACCGAGGCATTTATTCATGTGACAAAGCTTCGTTACCTGGACCTTTCCTTCAACGGCCTTCGTCAGCTGGATGAGTTGACGTTTGAGCCGCTGGAGCACCTCGAGGTGCTGCTGCTTCTGAAAAACAACATCTCCCAGATTGATCGCTCTGCCTTTTCCAGCCTCAGCTCTCTGCAGAAGCTCTACATGAGCAACAATCTGATCTCTCGCTTCCCCGTGGAGGTGTTGAAGGAGCGCAGCAGACTGGAAACGTTTCAACTGCTTGACGTTTCCTCCAATAGGATCAAAACCCTGCCGCTGAAGGAGCTCCAGGCTCTGCGTGCCTGGACCAATAAAGGCGTGTACTTCCACAGCAACCCCCTGACCTGCAGCTGTGCCTTGTATGACCTGCTGGCACAGTGGCACATCAAGGAGCTCAACTCTGTCGTCCACTTTAATGGCAGCCACACATGTGTGGTTCCAGGTGGTCCACAGAAACAAACAATGCCCATCCTGGACCTGGACAAGGCCTACCTGAACTGCACCGAGGTGAAGGCCCTTAAAGAGGAGGCCTATCTGCACCAGTTCTTGCTGCTTGACTGTGACACCAGACTGAAGAGCATGGTGAAAAGGTGGGTGTTGCCAGAAAACGCTTCACCGTCTTTAGCTAATAAGACTGTGGTGGTCAGTGAGGACTATCTCCGCATCGGACCTCTGAAGGCGGAGGACTCGGGCGTGTACACCTGCTACGCCACAGGTGACTCCCTGAATGAGACGCTGCACATAACTGTGGTGGTGTTCAACTACACCATGCGTGGAGGGCTGGAGAGTCTAAAAACAGCCTACACCACCCTTGTAGCATGCTTGATCAGCTTAGTTATGGTCCTTGTCTACCTCTACGTCGCACCCTGCTGCTGCTCCTACTGCCCGGATCAGGACAAGGAGAAAGATGGCGACCCCAGAGGGAGCCTCCACTCCTCCACCGTCAGCCTCACTCAGGGAGAGGAGGAGACGGAGCAGCAGAGGGCGGAGGGCATCCCTTACATTCATACAGCCCTGCTGGAGCATAAGGGTCAGCTGGAGCAGAACGGGAGGCTGAATCCAATAGGCGAGGAGGACGAGGAGTGGCAGGACAACAGGAAGAGACGGAGGTCTGATGCAGAGTCCATCAGCTCTGTTTACTCCGATACGCCCATGGTGATTTAAGAGCAGCAGCAAAAACCTTATGCTGTGAACAAATTGAAGTTATTAAAGAAACCTATGGCTCTCTTAGTGTTAGCACTACAGCAAGAGGAGATAAATAGCTTCATAAATATCTAAAATGGTGGCTCTAATAGGGCTTTTATCTTTTTTCGTCCGTTTCCGATGAAGCTACTTAAAAATGCTTTTAGCACCACAAAGAAGTGCTGAGTATTGAGAGTCAAACCACAGAAAAACGCATTTAATTAGATTCTTTGGTGTCATTTAGTAATGATTGAAACTGGAGTTTGATGGGAAGGATCAGGATGCTGAGGAGACTAACACAAACGTCACAGATGCTGGACTGAATCTGCACCCATTTATGCAAAACTCAAATGGAAGATGTTCCAATGTTTATGCAGAACCTTTATATCTTGTTTGCCACGAGAAATAATGCTGTGATGTAACTCTTATGCAACTTAATCAATGTCATGTTTGTTACAGAGTGTGTGTGTTCTAAGTGTTAGTTTCAGTACCGATGTCGGTGCTGTTGCCTTTTTGCAGGAGTTATAATTAACTGTTGGAGCTATTTTAGCATCATTTTGCACAATAATTGCAGAACTGTTAATTGACACTAGAGTGCTTTTAATTATTTTATTTTAGATCATTTTTATACCAAACGAGCTTTGTTTATAGAACATCCACACAACCAAAGTGCTCAAGCCCTGTATTTAAAATAATGAAGAAAAAAAACCACTTATATATATATCCATCCATTTTCTGAACCCGCTTGTCCATGTAGGGTTGCGGGAGGGGGGCTGGTGCATATCTCCAGCGGTCAACGGGCAATCAGGCGGGGTACACCCTGGACAGAGTGACAGTCCATCGCAGGGCAACACAGAGACGCACAGGACAAACAATCACACACACACACACACACACACACACTCACACCTAAGGACAATTTAGACAGACCAATTAACCTAACAGTCATGTTTTTGGACGGTGGGAGGAAGCCGGAGTACCCGGAGAGAACCCATGCATGCACAGGGAGAACATGCAAACTCCATGCAGAAAGATCCCAGGCCGGGAAGCGAACCCAGGACCTTCTCGCTGCAAGGCAACAGCTCTAACCACTGAGCCACTGCGCAGCCCTGTACATATATATATATATATATATATATATATATATATATATATATATATATATATATATATATATGTACAGAGTGTGTGTATATATATATATACACATTTCTGTGAAATCAAACTGTCCACTTGGGAAGCAACAGTCAAGAAGTAAAACTTAAAAATAAATGGAAAATAGTTTAAAATGAAAAAATAAAGACTAATTATAAATATATATTTTTAGAATACTTTACTTGTTGTTTTTGAAAATGATCAGTCACTGAGTTTTTCATGCAGGCTGAACATGAAAAAAATCTCCTACACCGATCTCCTGCATTAGCTTCTGATAGAAACTCTGGGATTAGAAAAGCCTGACAGATCTACATCACCCTTAACATTCATGGGCTCAACCATCTTGGCTCACAACAGGAAAGGCTGTTATTGGTTTAACATCCAGGGAACAGCAGAAAACATCTTGACAAATGGAAGCTAGTCACAGCAGAAGTCCTCCGGGCTTGTGTTATTTGATAAAACATCAACGCTGCAGAGCAAACGGAGTCAGTGGTAGAGTCTTGTTGCTGTTGGCCAATCAGAGGCGAGATGTCCAAACGTCCAAATCAGGAGACAATACTCAAAATCCTGTCGTCTGAAGCTACTTTCTCCTCCGGTAAAATACTTCGAGCTAAAACAGACGCACCGGAGCTTTTTTCCCCAGAGTACGACTTACCAGGCATTAATTCCTACATCCGCTTGTTATGCTAGTTCCTTCAATTGCCTCCACACATCCTCTGTAATCCCAGTCTAGCTGAACAAATATTCAAGATCCAGTCCCAACACTTTAACCAGCCTTTCCACTGCGGTTATTCCACCTCGCCAACAGGTTTTTGTCTAATCTGGCTTTGTTATTTCTCAACATTTAGCAGTTTCTTCTTATTACCAAGCGGGAAAACGAAGACGCACCTGCTGATGTTTGCTGAAAATAAGCAGTGATGATATACTTTATTTGTTAGACATAAAATAATTTCTGAAAAAGAAATTGACTGCATATATCCCTGATCTGTGGCTGTTCTCTACTGATGCTTACTATGATAAAATATATACTGACATCTGCAAATTTATCCTGAAATATTTATTCCTTCATGAGAAATTGCTAACAAAACCACACGGAAGCCATTATTCTGACTGTAAAAACTGTGAGTAGCTTAAGTGAAGCCTCATTTTCTCTTCTAAATGCACTTTGTGTGTGTTCACTGTGAGTTTCAGATGGATAACATACTGTAAATGCACATCATACCACGCTAGATGGTTTAAAGCGGCCTGGAAACATATGGGGGGAAACAACTGGGAGCAAGGACCATTTACTGAATGCTTTGGGGCTTCAGAGCCCAGCCTTGCTGCACAAATCATCCACTCCAGCCAACCAGGAGGCTCATAAACACGGCCAGAAATAGCTCGAGAAGCAGCCAGCAAGGCTGAGAAAATACATACCCACGGAGCTGATGTCTGGTTGTTAGTTACTGTCCTAAAAAATCAACACTGAAACAAACCAGGGGCTTGATCATTAATGTACTTTGGTGTTAAAACGATCGTGTCTGCAGGAGCCTAGGCTCTGGAGATGTTTGGAACACTGTCCAATAAAAAATCTGACACACCTACATGTATTTTATTTACTGTCTCATGACCCCTAACGATTGACATCTACATGTCAAAAGTGTTGCTCATCCACTCATCAGGAGTTTTATTGTGACATCTAACTACTTTACAAGGTGACCCGTTTGCTGCCAAAATAGCCTTGACCCATCAAAACCCTCTGATGGTCTGTTGTTGTCTCTGTCACCCAGCCACAGACTCTCTGATCCCCGTGAGTAGCCTCTATGCGCCAAGCTCGTTTGTCCTGCACGTCCTACAAATCCCCCGACTGGAATGGGTTCCAGAGAATTTGGAGGCCGAGCTAAAACCTTGAGCGTACCGAACCTCTTAACACATTCCTAAACGGTGAGTGTCAAGAGTGCATCATCATGCCAGTGGTACTCATTGAGGAACACAGATGACTTGGTGAGCTTGGTGAGCAGGAGCATGTAGGCGCCATGTTTCAGAGTTAACACGTGCAATGACAGAAGTACCCAAGGGTTCTTCTGCAGGATGGTTTCACATTTCCTCCACCAGAAATGTCTTTTTCAGATAAAAGCCCACCTCAGGATTTCTACTAGCATTGCTTTTCTGGAACCTGAGCTATTTTCATCCTCCAGGATCGAACAACACGTCCTGAGCTCTGCTCCCATGTGCATACGTTAGCCTTGACCACCTATCATCCCATTTGTGGTTTATTGATTTTCCTTGACTGGACAACCTTTGACGTGTCTTTAGTCAGATCAGGAGCATCCCACTAGGGCTGTGGGGGTAGGAATGTTATGACCTGATGGGTGGCACAGGTTTATCACTCAAACTCCATGTTTTTCTATTTTCTTCTGCTTCAAACACACCAATTACCAAAAGTATAAAAAAGTACAAGATGTTTCCATATTCCGAGAGGCAGCTAAGAGACAGAGTTCCTCCAGCGCGTCCTGGGTCTTCCTTGTGTGTCCTCCCAGTAAGGAGGGGTAGGAGGGGTCCAGGAGGCATCCTAACTAGATGCCTGAGCCACCTCAACTGGCTCCACTCAATGTGGAAGAGCAGCAGGTCTACTCCGAGCCCCTCCTGGATGATCGAGCTTCTCACCCTATCTCTAAGGGAGAGCCCAGCCACCCTGCGGGAGCTTGTGCCCGGTCATGAGTATTTCGGTCACTATCTAAACCTCATGACCATAGATGAGGGGACCGGTAAATCGAGAGCTGAGCCGTAAAGCGAATCTCTCATAATAATTGTGACAACCGCATCACCACTTTCAAATGTTAATTATGGCCTTCGCTTCAGCAGAGCTTTGTTTTGATAGGAATCTGTTTCCATCTTTGTTTTTGTGATTGGTGATCTGATGTCACCGTCATTATAAAAACTGTTCCTGTTCGGTTTAACCAGACCCCGATCGCCGTGCCGTCTCCAGTTTCTGTGTTACATTAATGACACACACACTTGTTTACTCGAGAGTGAAATAGGAGACCTCACAGAGGGCTGGAGCAGAAACGTCTGCTTCTGTTCCTAGAGCCAGCAGGCTTATGGAAACATGGCCTGTTGCTGGATAGATGTCCTTTTTTGGACCGATCTGACGATCCTGCCTCTTCTGGAAGTAAATAACTACATTATTTATTTAACTATTTATTCCCAAATATGTTTATTTATTGTCAGTTTGATATCCTCGTACATTTATTTTCCAAACTGTATTTTGCATTTGCTTATTTAGTTTTATTTCCTTAGCTGCTTGTCGACTTCCTCACGGTCGTTCCTCCGTCTGGGCTTCAGTCGACGAAACAATTCAACAAGAGACTGTAAATGATTTAAAAAGTTAACAATTATTATAGGAGTCATAAGGAGACTAATGGAAGATGTGTTTTTTTTTTAGAATTAGAAGAACAGCAGCAGCTTGAGGAGGACCTCGGAGCTACACTCATCCCAGATGGAGCTGGTGTGATCCAGCGCCTGCCAGTGATGAATGGTTTTAAGGTAGATGACTCATCCTCTCCTCAGACCCCTCCCAGGAGAATAACGGGAGTGGTGAAGTGTTCTGCATCAACAAGCAGCTCTCTGCCACCTAGTGGACACCTGATCAGACACGCCAAGGACAAAATCCTCCTCCGAAATCCCCGGATCTCATTTTCATGATGCAAATGTGACTCACAGGGGTGAGAGGCAGCGGTCGCATGAGCGTACGTGTTATGTTAAAGGGTCTGAAAATAAAAGGTCTGTTTTTTGTGCTCAGCTGATTCTCCACCTGATCTGATTAGCCAGGACCCAGAGTCCTCCTGAATGAGTGCAGAAGGACCCTTAAAGACAAACGCAGGGCAACAAGACTGAAAGAACTCAAAGCATATATATAGATATAGATATGTAGACTCCTCTTGTAGATGCTGAAACTGTTGTTTATAATGATTTCACAGAGATAACGTGTTCGTCTACAAACCCATTCACTCAACAGAAGTAAGGGAATGAATGGTTTCTAACTGGAGACTCTGCTGGTGTTTTATTGGTGCATGATGGACTTTAATCTCAAGTTAAATCTCATCTAGTCACTGACCTGAAGCAAAATGAAATATCAAACCAACCCAACAGGCAAGACTGAGTGTTGCTGCTGCTTATTTTCCTAATTTTAATCAACTTTTATTTGTTTCATTTTAGTCAAAAGTGACAGAGGGGAGAAAAGTGAATGTGTATGAAACAAAGCTGAGATTTCTACGGCTTTTCTGAGTGTAATTCATAAGAATCTCCAGTCTCTTGTATGTAACACGGATTTGTTTTGAAAACAGAGACCTAATAAACTCACCATGAAATAAACGTCTCATATTTTGCTCTTTTTTATTAACATAATGAAATAACTATCTTCAGCTTTTTTACATATTCATTTTATTTATGTATTTTGGTAGTATTTTATTGTTTTAATTTTAATTGCAACATTTAGATTTCCCACTGGGATCAATAAAGTAATTTTAAATCTAAATTGAATTAATATTTACCATCTAATCGTTACCAGAAGATGAGCATAACTACATTTTGTTTTTAATCATTTCCTTTTTTTTTAATAAAACTGGTGCATTAGAATAAAAAAGACAACACCAGCTTGTTTTTAAACAAAAATATTTATTATTCAAACTCAAATCTGATTCCATTTACAAGTCAGGTTTAAATAAAGTGAAATTTTGGAACAGACCTCAGTTGTACTCACCTGTTCAGCTCACGCTGTTATTTCTGGACCACTGGTTCTACTGACGAGTCTTTTCACCTGGTGGAGGAACAACCTGAAACATCTGGACCATGACTTTATCTGAACGGGATCTAAACACACAACCGCAACAGAACTGGTTCCCTGAGATCCTTGACCCATGTGACCCAGCTACATACCTGCTGTTGTCATTGGCGACAGCCTAGGTGGTGATCCGTCTTCCTGCCATCGTGACCTCTGATGACTGCTCAGTTCATGGAGAACCCTCGCTCTGCCGGGCAGAGACAAGCAATAAAAACAGTTCATGTTTAGAAACACACCCAGCTGTCAGTTTATTACAAATGACTTTGGCTGCCATCTTTGGACTTCGTAAAAGAACAATAAAAAAGCTGAAAGTCCAGAGCTGATGTAGCTCTGTGAGCGGCCATCCCAACACCACATGTTCATGGAATCATTTACCTAAATGATTAAAGCTGATCATCAGATTTAAACCATTTCCTTTTGACAGGTGGTAACCCTGATTATGATGCGTTCCAGCTTCTCATTGATGTATTTATGTTTTTTCCTCTACAGCTGGCTTCTTGGTGAGAGAACTACGGACTGTGCTTTTGAATATCTGTGATGATCCAGCTTAGTGGCCTAGTGGTAGAGTGTCCGCCCTGGGACTGGGCGATCGGGGTTCAAAACTGGTCCTACCAAAGACTTTAACAATGGGACCCAATGCCTCCCCGCTTGACACTCAGCATTAACAGGTTGGATTGGGGGGGTTCAACCACCAAATAGTTCCCGAGCACAGCCATGGCTGCAGCTCACCGCGGGGGACGGGTCAAATGTGGAGATGAATTTCACCCATGTGTGTGATGACTAATGGGACTTTAACTTTATCCACACCTGAGATCACTGGATGGAGGCTTAAAGAGCAAGTCAACCCCCACCAGATTCTTACTCAACTCCCACTTCCTGTTTGAAAAATGCAATAAATGCTGTTGCTTAGCAGACCGAGAGGGCGGAGCTGCTAACAAATACACACACAGGCTCACGACAGCATTGTGACATCATAATGTACCAGTTTACATCATAGCATACCTCTTAGCCAATAGCGGTGGCAGATTTAAATTCAAATACAGTGCAGAATTTACCTGGCGATGGCACAACACTGACAGTTTTAGGCAGAATATTTAAATTTTAACTAAGATATACTGAAGTGCCAAATTATTGACGACACGTGTCTGCAGCACCATTAGACACTCGTTTATTTAGTTTATCAGCAAAAAAGTTTATTTGGGGGTGACTTGCTCTTTAAATCAGAGAAGACCAACAAAATACTGGGATCTAAAATGTAATGTTAATTTTAAATGGTCTGTTTTATTAGTCCTACTGATAACAGTAATAGTGGTAACAGATATTAGTATTTTCATTGGCCTTATTATACGTCAGCAAATTCCAAATACAAATATTAATTCAGCTTTTTACACATTGTAAATTTTATACATAATAAATTCCCAACTCACCCTGCATGGGGGGTCCCATCCTCCCAAGGTCAGGTGTGTGTGTGTGTGTGTGTGTGTGTGTGTGTGTGTATATATATATACATACTATTTTTATGATTCTGTGTAATCTCCTAAAGCATCTGAGTGTTGTTATGGCAACCAGTGTTTATTTACCAAAGATGAAGGAATGTGTGCTGCTGTTGAAAATCATTTGTTTAATGTTTCTGCTTCTTTTTATAAATTGGGAAGTTTGTAGTTTACAAATTTACTGAAATCTAAAACTATAATGAAACTTGGCTCCCAAATCAAGTGGCCATTAAAGAAATTGTGACCCAAAGCTTTCCTGACTGGATACATCAAATTCAAGACGTTTTACTGATTTAACATAATTTTTAACTCTTCTAACTCTATATCGATCATTTCATTACGCTGTGATATCTGGAGACCACAGCACTGCGGTGAATTTGGATCAGATATTAGTTTACAAGTTACGTAATTTTATTTTGAAAGAATGTTTGTTTACACTCCACAAACCCGATGATGCAGATAAAAGTAAGCCTAAGGCTGAATGCTTTTTACATGATTTGGTTTTCTAGCATCACGTTCAAAACAAAAAGTGACATCACCATTAGAGTTTAACCGGGCAGCTTCTAAGCAGATTACCAAACCCAGCTGTGGGTCTGAAGTCATCTGAATTCGTTACCTGCGGAGCTGCATGCACACAGCCAGAGGACTCGAGGCCGTCCCGTCCCGTCCCTCAGCTCCAGGAACACACGAGACAGGTCCGCCGTCTCAGGCGGACACTTGCAGCCCTTCTGCTCATCTGTGGATGCAGGGCGGGGATCCAGCAGCAGAATCTCCCAGCACCGCGCTCGTCGCCTCGCTTCAGGCGTTTGAAACCACATTAAACCAGCTAAAGCTTGACCTCTACAGGTCGTCTCTCCTCTGATGCTGTAGAGACGCCGTCTCCCATGGGCTGAAGACACGTCTTTCCCTAACAGCGGTCTTCTTCACAACTCCAATGATAGCTTTAGCAATTACACAACAAAATCCCTGCTCCTTCTCAAAGCGGCTGCAGATCCTGAACCAATACGTTTTTGCACCAATGTGCAGCCGGAGTCAGGAGGGGGTGAAAAAGGAAGAGCAAGGTCATCTAATGCTGCTGTGAATCCGCAGATGAAGGTGACTTCTGGCAGCTGGAGAGGTGTGCTCTCTTAGGCGTTGGTTCTCAGCCACACCTCCAGTCGCCAAGGTGACTGAGGTATGAAGTCAAACGGCGACTCTAGACTTGCTGAAAACACTGCATCTCAATAAGAGGAATGCAGGTGGTCTGAACGCTCCTCACAGAGGTCATTCAACATGGAGAAACCACGAAAACACAGACAAGAGAAGCTTCTCCTTCCTCTCCTCGGCTGCTGCTGTCAAAGGGAAAGCCTCTCCAAGTTTGATAAAACATTCCAAGAACAGAACAGGTCACAAAAGTTGTCTTCCGAGGCACTCGTGTTTCCCACGAAAGAGCAAATTTATTAAGACAAGAAGTTTGCGGTGCATGCTGCACTCTGCGTTTGTCTGACAGTTATCTATATATACTTCTTAGGCCCAAGAGCATTGATGTTCTCCACTTCTCTCTCCAGAAATCCCAAGTACACTGCACAGATATTTTTGCTTTTTTCAAATTAAAACACAGAATTCAAATCAAAGCATGAAAATCAACGGTTAAAGTCCGACGTAGTGGAGGGCCGTTCCAGAGCGAGGTCCTCTCCTCTTCAGATGCAACTCCAGATCAGCCCCAGAACACGTTACATCAGCTCTTTTTCTACAGTTAAACAGCACGCGCTCTGCGGGGGGGTAGTTCCAACAATGTGTTCAAACTACATAAGATTCTGGTTAGAAAAAGATGCATTTAAAAAAAATAATAAAGTTTAGGGAGTTCAATTTCAAACTAAAAGCCCCACAACACTAATGACATTTGTCAGTTGTTGATTAAGCAAATGTTTACATTAGTCTCTGAAATGTCCTTAAAGTGTAATGACAAACATCTTAACGGGTTTCATGGAAAGTCAGATCTGATTGGAAATTAAATTTAAAAAATAACAACAATAAAAATATTACTTCTAATTAAATGAAAGTGACGCCAGACATTATGGTGATGGGTCTCTGGAATTGTCAAAACCTTTCACCATAAATGGTCATCTGAACAGATTTGTCTGAAAACGTCCGGACTTGGGTCTTGGATCCAGCTGCTGAGCACAAACAGAACAAATAATGTCTAATTTAGCCCACATCTCACGTCTGTTCATCACTTTCAGGACTTCAGTCAAGCTATGGAAGCCCATTTGTGCCACACTAAGAAAAATATAAACATGTATCTTCTAATTATGAGAGCTCTAAGTCATAATTATAGGATACAGGTTATTTTTTTCTTTCATCAGAGTGGCAGTAACTGGCTTCCACAGAATACTCATTTTTAAAAGAAAACAACGTTTGTGGTGAACGTTTTAACCCTCTCGGGCTCAAAATAAGTTTTGATAAAAGGACGAACAACTAAGTCCTTCAGGGGTACTTCTGAGTTAAAAAAAATACTCATGAAACACGTGTGCGGAGTAACCAGGTAGGTAGGTTTTAACGTTGCTAATCTGCAACGCCGGCCTCCAGAGGGTTAAGGATCTGGAGTGTTTCCAGACTTTTAACTTCATCCGAGACATCTGACACAAGTACTTTTTCAGGAAAATGACCTTAATCAACCAAAAATCACACTGAAATGTACTTTTGATCATTTGATAACAAATACAGATTAAAGCAGGAAAGGCTATAAACACTAATAAAATGAGTCTGTTGCCATAATCTACTAAAAATGGCCTTAACAGGGTGTAAAAGGACACGTTTCCATTTAAATGTGATGAGGGAAGAAACAGAAGTCTGGGTGCTCTGACTCACTTCACTAGAGTACCCTTAGATTAGTGAGATTTTATCTCTTATCCGAAGCAGCAAAAGGCAGCATGTCACACATAATACACTCCATCATTTATCCAACTCTTATCCTGTAGCTCTGTTTATAAATCTGTTCACAGTGTGAAATAAAAGCCATCATATAGATCAGGGAACCCTTCTACTCTGATTTATTATCAAAACCTCTGTTTATACACCTCACAATTTAAACAATGAGAGATCAAATGAAAAACAACCAAAATAAAAGGAAATGCACTTTTTTTTTTTTTTACGAGGCTCCTTTAATTATGACCATCACCAGGTAGTCTTCCTCGGATTTGGCAAAAGCTTTGGCAGAGGCATCCAAGAACTGCTGGGAGAACTCACATGGAGGGAAAGCGTGCAGAACCCCCCCTTGGTCCTTGTCGCGGCTGCCCCCAACAGGCAGGCTGATAATACCGGCGGCTTCCTTCTGCTTCAGGTAGGAAACCAGGTTCTTCAGCGGCCGCTCCATGGAGTTGCTGGTGTCCTGTGGTTCGCCGTCCTCCGATTTACCGGGCACTGCCAGGAGAACAGAGGATCCGCTGGAGCTGGCGGCCTTGAGGCGGCGAGCAACCTCATCCAGCTTGGCCTGGTCCAGACGTAGACGTTGGCTGATCTTCAACTGGGACACACTCCCTCCCGTAGGGCCATTTAGCAACAGGCCAGTGGCCACCCTCAGGTCTCCTTCCAGCAGGTGCAGAGAGGTTGGGAAGCTGCTGTTCTTGAGCAGGAGGACTCCCTGCCAGACCTGACTCAGCTTCTGTCCGTTAGGGTTCGCCTGATGGACAGATTTGGACAGGGAGGAGCTCAAGGCTGGATTCTCGGAGCGATGCTCCTTCTTGGCCGGGCTCTTGGATGAGTCACTAGCTTTGCGTTTCCTGTCCTTCTCAGCGTTGGTCTCAGACAGATTCTGTGTTTTTTTCCTTTTGTCAGCACAGCTTGTGTTATGGCTGTTCTGTCGCTCTCTGGCGGGGGAAGTTCTGTCAGAGCGAGGCAGACGTTCGGGGTCGCTGTAGCGCCCCCCGTCTCGGCTGCTCCCTCCTGGACTGCGCTCCAGCGAGCTGCCATGACGACGAACACCGTGGTCTACGGCGTCAGGCGAATGCTCCAGGCGCCAGGCATCATCGAGAAGTTTTCTTTTGCGGCTCAAGTCTCTGTTCTGCAGCTCCCGCTCCATCGACCAGCTCTCTCTAGAGCGCCTCTCCGGACGATCGACGGGGTTGAAGTTAACTCCTCGCATCCTTTCGTGGACATTCAGGCCAGACCATTCAGAGGAGTAAAGGTCTCTGAAACGAGCAGGAAGTGGAGGGGACCGCTCTCTCACCCTCACTGGCTCAGTGACGCGATGAGGAAAGCTCTCAGGGACCAAGTCATAGGTTGGTGGCAGAGCAAGTGGAAGCTGCATGTACTGCTGCTGTTGCTGGTAGTGATGCTCCGTCTCTGCGAAGTCCACTCGCAATCTTCTGTCAGGACCACCCAAAGGGAAACCTCTCATGTGAGTGCATGCAGCCTGAGCGGCGTCCATGCTTTCGTACTGGATGTAAGCCCACACGTCTCCTTTCCTGTAGTCTATAGTCCTAATGGTGCCAAAGCGGTCAAACTCTTTAGCCAGGGCGGCGAGTGGAATCCACGGTCCAAGACCTCCCACCCACAGCCTGGTGGAGGGTGTAGGCTTCCCATATCCAATTTTAATTGGGCTGTGACCCACCACCTTCCCTGACATGGCTAGTTTGGCACGATGAGCCATGTCAAGATTCTCAAACTTGATGAATCCAAAGGTGTGGCTCTGTCCCCTGGTAGTCCTCTTTATGTCCACCGCTGTAATCACTCCAAACCTCTCAAACGTTCTCCTCAAGTCGTTTTCATTCAAACTTGTATCCAAGTTGCCCAAAAACAACGTCCTGTTAGCCCTCTCGTCGTCCTCGGGGCTGATGAGGTCCTCCTCGCGGTAAATAGCACAATCAGAGAACGGGATTCTGTTTCTGGCATCAAACAGGGAGCCCTCCCTGTCTCTCCCCAGTTCTCTGAGGTCAGGAGGTGGAGGAGGAGCGGGGAGGCGGCCCAGAGCTAGCTGCTGTAGCCGGTAGTCTCTGTAGCCCACACCCGTGGGAGACGCGGGTCTCTGTGTGTGGAGATGTCTGTGACCCGGGGGGAAAGGCTCTTTATTTGCAGGCGAGCGGCTTCTCCGACGGCTCAGGTAGACGGTCTCTATTTTCAGCGGCCGGTCGTACAGCACCAACTTCCCGCGGGCGTGCTTAGCCGCCCGGGCGTCCTCGGGCCTCCTGAAGTTCACAAACGCCACCCTGTAGTCGTTCTCACGGCTAATTTTGACGCTCACTTCTCCAAATTTTTTAAACTCGTGAAACAGCCCGTCTTCTATCTCCTCGTCGTTTAACTCGGAGCCAAGTTCGCTTATTTTCAGAGTCTTGTACTCACTTCCTGCGTTTGACGGAGGCCGCGCGTCGCTGCGTGAACCGGACCTGGATGTCTCTGCAGCGACGTCAGCGACGCCGTGCGACTTGGTGCCCGGAGCAGCCCCGTACTCGTAGCCACCGCCGCTCCGACTGGATGAAATATGTCCGTCGGACTCCCTCGTGTCTCTTTTCTCGCTGTGTAAACTTCTCCTGCTCTGCGCGGAGCCGTTGCTGCTTCCGGCAGAGAGCGCTCCGGGTCCGGTTTTCCTGCTGCTTGGGTAGCTTCCTCCTCGGTCTCTGCTTTCATCGAGCGCTCGGGATCGTTTCTTCACCGGCGATCGCTCCTTCCCTTTCATTTCAAGAAGCTGCGTTTTACACACTTGAGTTCTTAAATGTAAAATCTGTTGAAAAGTGAGCCGACGATGCCAGAAACTTAGAGGCGTTTCAACAGTTTTCTCTCAGGCGAGTCACATCGGCGACATGTTGGATCAGTTACGCTACTGTGACGGAGGTCCCGCCTGTTTTCTTTAGGACAATCTGATTGGCTTGCGGGCTGTCAGTCATATGGAAATGCCATGCAGCCCGCCTATTGTAAAACAGGGTGCGGTGCGTGCAGCTGGGGTCAAAGTACTAGTGATGGGAATTCCGGCTCTTTTTAGAGAGCTGGTTCTTTTGGCTCAGCTCACCAAAAAGAGCCGGCTCTTTCGGCTCCCAAGTGGCTCCTCAGATTTTCTGTTGCGTAGAGTACATTTATAACCAAAATAATGCAAAACTATGTAAAATGATTTACTAATGTAAAAAAAGTGCTATATATCAAATATTTATTTTTTCTTTGGATTTAATAACTGAACACTTTAAGAAATCTCCACTTTCTGACTGCTGGCGCTCATTTTCTCACCGTCTCCATTGCACTCTCCTCTCTCTTGCTCGCCTTTTCCCTCTTCCTCATTCCCTCTCGTCTTCCTCCACCTGCATGTGCTCTGCTGTGTGTCTGAGTCTGATCCTCCCTCTTCCCCTCCCCTACTGCTCTGTGTGTGGACAGCCTGTAGCTTTCACCAAAGCAAGAGGGGAGGGGGAGGGGACGGCTCCCAATGACGAGCCGGCTCCCGTCGTTCACTTCAAAGAGCCGGCTCTTAGAGCCGGTTCGTTCGCGATCGACACATCACTACAAAGTACAATCACAGGGCCGGAAAGTATACCTGCTGATTCAGAGGAATCGCTTCCAATATTTTAATTATTTCATGCTAATCAGTGTGAACGACATATGGTGCAACATGAATGGAAATTACATTACAGTTTAATTTAAAAAGAGCCACTTTCAGGGTTGCGCTACACAGGAGGGAGGTGTTGTTTATTTGAGATGAAGAGAAGGAGAGGACTGTAGAACAAAGATCAAACTCATCATGATATAATAAAATTATTATTTTGGTTCTCACCCTGTTACTCATCATGACAAAAGATGATCAACAAGTCAACAATAATAAAATATGCACACAAATCACATTTTCCACAATACAGACATTGCCTTGCAAGGCCAGGCGCCTTGGCATTGAGAAACACCCAGTTACTGGAACGCATCCTTTCAAAATAAGACAGGCTGAAATGAAGCTCTGGCGCTAACGACAGTTATCCTCGTTTGAATGCGGTGAAACGACCAGCTGCGCCTCTGCGATATGAACCTGTTTCCGGCCCCACAGACGACCATGTAAGCAACGTTACTTATGGAGCTAACAGCCCAGACAAAGCCATCCGAGATCTGCGGCATCGGGGCCACCATGACAACGCTTCCCGCTTCGGAGATGACCACATTTCTTTTAATCACATAGATTACATAGAGTCATTGCACACAGACAGTGAGTGGCGTCCCAAAGGAGGCCAACGGAGGCCGTTGCCACCCAAAGTGCTGGTCCCCAAGGACAGGACCCCCCCCCCCAACACACACACACGTTTTAATAATTGCTATTCATGCTCACACAAAACATAAATTCATCATTTTTAATCAACACATTAATGTAATTCTCCGTGAGAGATAAAAATGTTTAACTTTCTCACAATATTTATATTATTTGAGCTAAACCTGTTAGTAGGACACTTCCATACAGTCAGTTAATGAGTTACTAAAATGTTCAACCTAAAATACAGACAAATCTTAAAGAGCAAGTCACCCCCAAATAAACAATTTTTTTGCTGATAAATTAAATAAACAAGTGTCTAATCGTGCTGCAGACACGTGTCGTCAATAATTTCGCACTTCAGTGCATCTTAGTTAAAATTTAAATATTCTGCCTAAAACTGGCAGTGTTGTGCCGTTGTCAGGTAAAAACTCTGAACTATATTTGAATTTAAATCTGACACCGCTATTGGCTAAGAAGTATGCTATGATGTCAACTGGTACATTATGATGTCACAGTGCTGTCGTGAGCCTGTGTGTGTGTGTATTTGTTGGCGGCTCCGCCCTCTCGGTCTGCCAGGCCACAGCATTTATTGCATTTTTCAAACAGGAAGTGGGAGTGGAGTGAGACTCTGGTAGGGGTTGACTTGCTCTTTAAACTTTCTGTTTGTTTTAACACTAATTAGCAAATCTGCACCTTAGCCTAAGATGACCCTTTAATGATTTTAGTTTCCTGCATCAGCCTTGTTGCACCATCATTAGTGGGACAAACAATTGTGTGTTTGCTGAGTGTGTGTATGCGTGCGTGCATGCATGTATGTGTGTGTGTGTTTTAAAAGGCTTAGGTTGTCCTAAAAATGAGGACGGGAGCTTTGCCCTCAGCCCCGTGTTGGACCAGCCCATCTTTGAGAGACCATCTGGTGATGTCCCCACATCAACGGGGCAGGACAATCTGCTGCTCAGCATTAATATGAGTTAAAGTGTCTCAAAAAAGATGGATCACATGAGCTTGGAAATCTAAATCTCCTTCAGTGTCATTTCAGTGTTCTCTTCAAATCAAACCAGTAGAAATGTGTTCTTGAAATATTCAGACGTCATCACCGTCATCTGTTAACATTGTGACCATCATAAACAAACTGTGAAGTTAATGAGCTGTCAAATATGCAAGGGATTAGTGACTGGAAAACAGCTTTTTAATGAGTTTCTATTTTTATAAGCTTCATTTATACACGCGCACGCGCGTGCACACACACTGCACAGATATCTGTGTATTTCTGTCATCAGTTGAGCAACTGATCTGTCTCCATCTGTGTGATTTGATCTGCTGCACTGATTCTGATGAACATCCTATAATATCACTTATGAAGAAATTAAATCTGCAAATCTTCAAAAAGAAAATGGCTCAGTAACAAACGTGTCTCATAGCAGGTTTGGGTTAAAACCATCGACATGTACATATAAAAACCTGATAAAACCTGCACCATACTTTCTCTAAGTGCTGGTCAAGCACTGCAGCGTGCATGTCAGAGCTCAGCATGACCCACTTTTTCATCATACAAACACCTGCATAACACCAGGATGTCTCCTCGTGCACCACTGCACACAGCACACAGTGTGGATATTTTAGAAGGATGTGTGTCCCACGAGAACACATTTAGCTTTCATGGTTTGTTTCTGCACCCAGCAAACAAAGAGGTGTTTCATTTTAGTTTGGTTTCATTTCATCCAGGCTTTTTCTCTGATGTGTTGACTTTAAAAGCACTTTTATCCACACGCCACTGCCTGTTTAACCTTAAAGTAGAATGCCAGTGCACGTGCAGTTATGTTTGTTCCTTTGCTCACTCTAATAAGAATAAAGGACTAGATAAATGATACCACAGAGCCCAATGCCTTTTTTTAGTAGCTGAGAATGACCCAGACAGCAAACAGGAGGGAGGGGGGGGCAGAAAGGGATGGGGAGGGAAGAATATAAATGAGAAAGGAGGAAGGGAAAAGTACTGGGCGGGTGTGGTGGTGCACGTGAGTGTGAGGCGTGAGGTAGGGGTGCAGAAAAAAGGAGAAAGCTGGAGCTGCAAACCAACAGGGAGAGAGTAGAACTGAAGATGAACTGCAGAGGAGAAGCATGCTGACGTCAGACAGAAAGAACCCTCAGATAAAATATAATCGGAAGAGAATGTTTGAGGAAAATATTTCAAAAATAGAATGGACAGAGGACAAGAAGATAATAAAATGCTTTCAAAGGGCAAAAACAGAGCTACAGTTAGCTCAAAGGAATAAAAACTGTAGACTGTTTTTTATGCGTGTAGGTTAGTTCTCTGGAAGGATATAGGGACAAGATCCAGATCATTAATTTTAATGAGAGGAAATCATTGACGTTTTAAACTGCCAGTCATGGCTGCAAACAAACTAGACTTTTCAAAAACTCTGATTTATAACAAAATCAAAAACCCTGCGGAGCTAAATGTGTTTCTCTCACGTTCAGTAGTTTCATAAAAACTCATGTTGGGACCAAATTCAGCTTGTCAGGAGTGACATGTTTGGTTAAAGCATGGATGTTGAAGCTTCATCTGCCTCTCGGTCATATACAACCATATATGAAAGGATGGAGCTGGAAGAAAACTAGGAAATCAAACACACATGAATTTAGAGGGAGACTAGGCCGTTTTGGCTTGCTTTTAGCACCCCCTAGTGTCCGTTTGTAAAACCGAAAGCAAAACTTATCTCCTCGCTGAGCCTTCGTCTTTTTAACAACTTAATCAGTGTGTTTCCATGCAGCCAGTAACCCTTTTAAAACCCGAATATTCACAATAACCCGGTTCCGCAGGTCCTTGTAAACACCGCCAAAAACCCGGATATGCTCATAACCGGGCTTTTAAAAACCCGGTTACTACACCTGGGGTAACCCTTTCTAACCCGAATGTTTGGTCGTGTAAACACATACCGGGATATCCCCATCAAAGCGTGTGTTCTGCACATGCTCTGTTCGCAAGGAATCTTGGTCTTTTGAGTAGCGAGACGTCTTGTATGCACCAGAACACCAGAAGTAAACAACAAGTTGGGGGCAACATGGCGAGTCGCGGCTCAGCACCACACTTTGAGTGACGAGGAAACTAAAGCACAAACAAACACGGTCGCTATCTCTTCCGAACTGGGAAACATGTTGTTGTTTTCACGGATACCGGAACAAGAAGAACCGGAAATGACGCATATTGCGTCTGGACGTAGTCCATACGTCCTGACGCTACCCCAACGTCCGCAGTTAAATCGGGTTATGCAAGTTAGAGGTAACTCTTTCTATTTATGCTTGTAAACGGGTTATTCTGATCAACTCAGAAACCCGAATACCGACCTTAACCCGATCATAACCCGGATATTGGCTGCATGTAAACATACTCAATCTAACAGCTGGCATGTCACCCCAGATCGGCCCACCAGGCTGAAGTAGCAAGTGAAAGATTCTGGCCACAGGGGGTGCTAGGGGCTGGGTGGCCTTTCTTTAACCCTTTAAATGGTTACCTTAGCACATACTGGCTCAAGAAAGTTATTTAAATTATGAAAATGTTGCTAAGTATCCCTTTAAGTATAGTAAGGTGTCATCATCATACATGATAATTAATCACAAGAGCACTCCCT